TTCCCCCCCCCGGCCCGGGTCTTTTCCAAGTAGTGGTGACCCGGCCTTGGCTCCCTATCTGGGGAGTGTCTCGAGACCTAAGCCTCCCATGGGGAGGAGGAGGAGGAGCTGCAGGTGGTAGCAAGCTCAGGCTTCTCCCCAGGTATACTAAAGCCCATGTCTTCCCTTCCTTTCAGTACAGACTCCCCCGCTAATACATACAGACTGGAACCTTTCCAAAAATGTATGTTAGCGCAGGAGGCTGGCCACTCACCAGGCTGTGAAGAACGTATAAGCTTGACGAGTCTTCCAGGCGCAGGAGGCTGGTTGGGACACAAGACTGACAGTATTACTATAATCATGGGAAAGCGCTAAACCGGTAGGATTATACAGTGCCTGTGGGGGGGGGTGGAAGGTATTCAGGCTTAATTCAGGGAACTGGAGCACAGATATAACTCCCTAGATCAAGAGCCCCTCACCAGCGTCAAGGAACCTTCCTTGTAGGGGGCAGTAATGGAGAGAGATGACTGTGGGATCGTTGCAGTCTGCGCCAAGTTTTGAATTCGTGGCGAGAGGAGTGCATAACCTGTATGGGTCACACAAAGACTGGGGAAATAAATACCCAGGTTCAAGGTAAAGAGTCAGGTTAAATTCCCTGGATCAAGAGCCTCTTTTTTCCGGCGTCTAAGGAATTTTAAAATGGATGTTCAGAAAAATCTCAAAAAAGCATGATTTATTAAGATGCATGAACAAAATTGCCATTGTATATTATGTCCTAAATTATCTAGAGGTTTAAACAAAAAAGGCACTAAAAATGAAAAACAAGATTTAAAACTTTACATACTTTGTAAAAACAAGACATCGTATTACAAGAATGAAAATAAAATTTTAAGACCGCTATTACATTATTACATTCTCTGGCATTTGCCCTTCAAGTTCTGAAAGCAGCACAGCAAGCTTGAACCTCAGCGACACACACGTCCTTACACCGTGTGTCGTCCTCGTGGCAGGCAGTGTAGCACAGCTGCAGCGGATGGTGACACTGTAGACGACACTGACAACAGGTCAGGTGGGCCGAGTAGCAGATGAGCAGACAGGTCAAGCGTTCTAGACCCCGGCGAGTGCACTCCTCCCGACACATAGGGGCAATAATGCGTATGCAGACATCATGACACCTGTAGAGACAGAGGAACAAGAATAATTTTCTTCGTGTGGCTACGCCCGTGTGAGTGGTTCAATGTATGGGAGGTAGTAGGTCGTGCTTATTACTTTAACTTTAAACTATTTTAGCAATAAGTCAGAGTGAAAGTCAAAAGAAAGCATTGTTAACTTACACAATTCCTTGCCTGGCGGCTACTCGCCTAACATTATCAGTCACATTAATCAACTCTACGTTGAAAATGGAGCGAGTGCTCTTCGTTCTGGCAGCCTCACCATCGATCTCACCCTTCCCTGATGACCCGCAGTCCCCGGAGGACCTGTTACCGTAGGACTCGCAGTCCCCAGAAGACTGGTAGTCATCACCCACCACACTGGACTCATTCACTCCCACACCAGAAGACCAGTCATTACCTCTCGCTTCAATAGACCCACAAGTCTCTCCCAGCGCTCGGTAGGACCTGCCTTTTTTCTCCGGCACACCAGCGGACCCCTCCTCCGTATCTAAGTTTCTTAACACCGAAGATTCACCACCAGCCTTGAGCACACCCGAGGATCTCCTCAAAGAGGAGTTGCCAAAAAATCCACTCTGAAAGCACCAGAAGACCAATCAGAGTTTCGCTCGTAAGGAAAATCTTTATCTGCGTTAGACTCGATGCTTTTTACGCCATCACTTGCTAAGTCAGCGGTTTTCCCGTAGCCATCTTTCTCAGTGAAGTTCTCAGATGCATTAAGTTCATTGCTGCTCCACTGTGAGGCGCTCCCAACCTGCAGCCCACGAAGGCAAAAAGGTAAGAATTTTTCAAAGAACTTAAAAGTTTTAAGTTTCTAAGTACAAATGACTACTGTCGAAGTTCCGTCTGTATATGTAAGTTATAGCATTCTTAAGAGTTTCATTGATCTTTATCCCCGCGGCCCTCTACAGTAAGTAAACATGAAAAGGAAACTGTAAAGGAACAAGAATCAAAACAAGCAAAACAATGTATACTGAATGCATGCAAGTTAATAAAGAAACAAGACTACCAATCCTGCTATAGTGAAAAAAAAAAATGGTTAATGGTAATTTTGTCAGTTGCACCAAGTGCAGTGAAGTGATCAATTACTCGTGTGCAACATCTAGGTGCTATTTTGTAAAAGTTTCGCCATCCAGTGGCTTAATGAATGGACACAACTGGACGACTGTAAGGGATAGTCAGTTCCTCTGCTTATGAGCAACTGTTATTAGTTTTTATGAATCTGAAACAGGCAGAAGAGCGACATTTGCATGGAGTCAGGCGAGGTGTAGCAGATGAAAGCGACGTCACTGGGAGGCGGGGGTCTACCAGTGGAAGAAAGAAGCGGAAGTTCTAGATATGAAAATCTGACTCAAATACATATAAGCGTCGATCTTGCCGCTGCTTTTAAGATTCATCAACACTACAGTACTCGACTGCTCGTAGGCTGAGGGACTGATTGCATAATTTTCTACTGTCCTCTGTTTATGTCCCTTTATTGCACTGATAAAACTACAGATTGTCAAGAAGTCTGCAAAATACCCATCAAGATGTTACATACGTGTCTTAACTCAATTTTTTGGTACTGTATACACCGAATAATTGATGTAATGATTATAAAGTACGCAAGTCTACTAGGTCATGCTAATTTAAGCTATAGTAATTAAAGTGCGTAGATTAAGAGAATTAAAAAAACAACTTTCCTAATAGCACAATAACTGTTGTTGTGGACGAGTGTTACCTGGCGGCCATCGACCGACTCTTGAAATAACAGTAGGCACCCAGCCTGATAAAACAAAATTAAATTTTTATTAATAACCTAATATGAAAGATTTATATATAGTTGAAAGTATATAATCTAACAATTAAAAATACAGGTACAAAGAATTATACTTCCCTTATAGACTATCAAGTAGTCTGAAAACTAATTTTCTATGGGATAAATAAGTCTGGTTTATTATGGGACGAGGCTGGTCCAATTATAGTTTTCTCTTGAAACTTAAATTTCAAGCAAGTTCTTCGCATACAGATGAAAGAAGTAAATATCTTTAATAAATCATCATACACAAGTTGCTAAGTGTTGGGGGATGGTCAGCGAGTTAAAATATATAATTATATATATGGTATAAAGAAATACATCTCTAGAAGGTATTGAGGCTCAATTCAGAAAACCGGAGCACAGATCCAATTCCCTAGATCAAGAGCCCCTCACCAGCGTTAAAGAACCTCCCTCGAGGGGTGGTCGACAATTACTCTTAAGAAACAAACCATACCACGGGTTCAAACCCCATCCGTGCAATAGTGTCATTACGATTTCGTGAGTCATACTCTCAAGAGATGCGAACTTTCACGTCTCTCTACGAAGCGAAACTCTATCGAGGAGATTTAGTCTCCTGGTGGTATTATACGACATGAACATAGTAAAAGAGCCTAGTAATAGTTCCTCCCCCCCCTCTTAAAATACAACCAAAACGGGTTTACTCTCCTAAGTTTCACTGGGAACAATCCGCCCCCCTCATTTACTTTCGGAATTCACACACAAATACTTGTAGGGAATTTTCTACAAAGAGAGTTTATTACAATGGACTTCTAACCACAACTTGGAGAAAATTTTGGATGCAGTTTCGATCCGTTTCCGACCATTAATAATGTTAATTTAACCTTGGTCATGTCACGGGAATTAACCTTAATAAATTCTGTAGTGTTTGTTAAAAAACAAAATACTAACCATACATACTGCCAAGAGTATTGATGTTCTCATGACTGCCCTGATGCGGATGTAACCAGCAGGTAGAGGTGTAGGCATCAGATGGTAATATAGGTAGAAATCAGTGGGTGTGTATCCACACGGCCTGACACGAGTGCTTTGACTGGGTCAGGAAGCGACTCTATTGTCCCCTTCCCCAAACTCTCATTGACATGACCTCACCTCAGTTGCCCGGGAAATATTAAGTTACACTTTTTTTTCTGGCTGGGACACTGAGAGACAGTGTCTGCAGCCAGCGGCTTACAGGACTACGCCATCACGGATAAAACTCGAGTGTAGTTAAATTTGCTTTGCGTCGACGGCGCAAAGGAACAGTTTTATTTGAAGGTAAATATGAGAAAGAGAAAATATCATGAACGAGCCATTGCTTTATTAGGAACGAGGTGGGTGATTATCGCTAGCAGCAGCAGTTCCCACAGCAGACTATATATACAAAGGTCGGTGTCTGTCTGTCAGGAGATATACACCGAGGGTTGCATTTCTCTCGGTGTATATATCCCTATTTTAGCGATTCAAGTATTCTTGTCTGGTGGTGAGGAGGTTACGTGCAGCCATAATGATCGCAGTGTTGTCGATGGGCTTGAAACCCCATTAACCAACCAACCTTTCTCTCATACGCAGGTGTACGCACGGAGCGGTAACTATTAAATAGTGAATATACAAAACAAACACACTCACTCACAGGACCTGACTCGACCTCTTCAACCACATATAGGTGAGTAGACACACACACACATTTAAGAGGGGCCAGGAGCTGTGATCGACCCCTGTAACCACAAATAGGTGAGTACACATTCTTTCTCAATACCTGTTAAATCTCAGTTCACTTTCTTACTCTCGTTCCAGCTCAGTACAGCTGCTCATATTGAGTGTTTTAATGCACATTGTTTATTCCAGGTGGTAATGTTAGGTGATTAGTTTTGATCAAAGGAAGGCCAGAGTTACTCCATTTCCTTGGACCCCGAACCCTTCACTGCCCCCCTCCTCCTCTTTTCAAAGGATAACTCTGGAAATATACTCAGACATATTTTCATTATAAGATTTATTTTGGGTTGTCACCAAATACATAAATCGACAATAAAATAATATATATATATATTATATATTATATATATATTTATATATATATAATATATATATATATATATATAATTATTATATATATATATATATATATATATTTACTTGTATAATAAATCAACATATAAGATATTATATACATTTAAGAAAAAGATATTTTTTTCGGTTTATTCTAAACCTCGTCATGTTGTGTGTAGTCTGACATGTTTTTTCCTACTGCACTCTGACCACCTTTGTCACAGTTTCTTAAGTTCCATTAACAAAAAAAAAGGAAATTTTAATATAATTTTCCACAGTGCAATGTAGGGCGACTCAAAATAAAAAACAAATCCACCATCGTTAGTTCAGTAGCTTGTCTTGCCAGAAGGGTGCGGACATTCCAGTTCAGATTACCTTCTGAACTGTTTCAGTCCCACCACTCCTTCAGAGTGCAGGCACCGTACTTCCTACTTCCAGGACTCAGGTCCAGGTAACTAGTTTCCCCGAATCCCTTCATAAATGTTATCTTGCTCACACTCCAACAGCAGATCAAATCGATGAAACCACCTGTTTCCCTTCACTCTGATCTGAACACGTTTATGTACGCCCCCTACCATTTCATGCCTTCTTACCCTCCCTCCAACTTTCTCTAGCACGACCCCTACCACTCTCCCACCCTGGATCTGTATACCTTCTTGGCTATCCTATTATTTTCAATCTCTCAATGTCCATTGTGTGAGCCATACGAGTTCGGTACTTATTTTCGAATATAATAAAAAATATGGAGGTACTGAGGTGTTAGGAACGGCTATTTCAGCAGCTCTATCGACTGATAATGAGGCATTGTGTATCTTGTGTCAATGTCCGGAGGTAACGAGGTCGGCGACCATTGAGAATAACTTCCACTATGCATCCTTGTAGTTACAAGTGTGGAGTGTAGGAGAACAAGAGGTGTCGCAGTCACAAGAAATGTAGATCGGGAAGTGGTCACTACCCAAGGCGTAGTCGAAGCCGCACCAAGTAATGCAAGATCCTATATCCGGAGAAGACAAAGATAAATCTATAGATGAAATGTTCCTAGTCACATGATCTACACGTGTTTCAATACATTTGCTTAGCAGACTCGCTTCTCACCGTCGTTTAATGGTTATACTAACGACTTTGGTGAATGGCCTGGGAGGATATCTGTCCTCTGCTATTATAGCAGCAAACGTGTTTAGAAGACTGAGATTAGTATTTGCCCTTTATTAGGCAATTTAGTTACCTCTACCGTCCCTTCTAAGGGTATCCCCACTGATGTTGATAGGCAACAAAACCTACTAGAATTATGACTTGTGAAATCGTAATAACACGATTGCAAACAAAGCCAGTGCCCACTGACCTGGAGTTTTGCAACTCACTCGCTGTGGCTTCAAACCCCACTCGTTCCGTGTGTTGTTTTTTCTACTATAATTAATGTAGAATTCGCTGCCTGACCACGGTAGAGTGCGGTTGTGCTCTGCACCCCTCTGCGTTTCAGGCGACTACCTCATTCTACTAACCTTGGTAGGGGAGGAGTGTGCCCTGGGGCCGATTAGGGGAAAGTTAATTTAAAGCTGCGAGGAAGCGGAGAGATAAACACGTTTGTTGACTTATCGTGGGCTGTGACAGGAATTCTATGACCTTTGCTCCCTACCGGGGCAATTAGAGTAAATTGGTATTCTGACAAGGTATGGGTGCCTGATGGGAAGGATTGTAAGTTAATTGGCAAGTGGGATGGCAGAGAACAATCAAGGAGGTTATTTTAAAGTTATTTGGTGTGACCATGCGACTTCCGCGTTTCTCGCCTTACACAGGTGGGTTAAATGTGCCATGAGGCGGGAGCCGGACTGTCGGATGGGAAAATATGTACAGTTTTGACTGAGGGGGGGCCCACGGGCCATTACGCCAGGGAATTGAAGGAACGATTTTGTGAAGTCACGATGACCTATGTCGTCGTAGGCGCAGAATTGGTAACCAGGTGTTTGTGACATGGGGGCACGCCATGTCGGTTTGTGGGTCAAGATCACTAGCTGGCTTGTGTGGAAGGGGCGTGGCAACATGGACAAGGAAGCATCAGCAGTGGATAAGAAATTTCCTATGTTCGCTAACGGGTGGGTCCTGGGTGAGGATCGAGGAACGGAAGGGAGAAGCAGGTGGGACGTTTGCGGGGGGACACCCTTCTTGCGCAGCTGGTGTTGAGAGGAAGACTGCAGTGTAGCGATGTGAAATCAGCCTGGTTTAAATGTGTTATCTGCAAGAGAGGGGAAAGGTTGGGGTCCAGACCTAGTTCTTGGGTTGTTATCAGGGCGGGCGGATCGGTGGCTGCGAGTGTGTAAAAAATTTTGATCGCGGGGGCCCACGGACGGTACAGGCATATGCACAGGGAATCACAACCGTCTTGCTACACCGAACTTCACGCCCTGTCAGCGCACTGGCCCAAAAAGTCGGGGCGGAAGTTACGCAGAGAGGACACAGCGGCCTAAGGGGCAGGAGTTGGTTTAAGTGCGTTTCTAAAGGGGGGGAGGGGACCGAGGTGTCACGAAAACAAATCTGGTGGCAAGACAGTACCAGGGTCAAGAAGGAAAACACTCGGTAAGTTCAAGTGCATGACTTTGGAACATTAATGGATTGGATCAAGGGGGAAAGTGTGTATGGTTTGTGAATATTTGAGCGTATAGTGTGATGGGGTGTTCGTGCAGGAACACAACTACAGACCGGTTATAAAAGTTGAAGGTGAATGGGTTATAATGTGTATGTGGAGCATTGAAAAGGTTGAAAGGAGGAGTTGCATCTGGTAAGGGAACTGGCCGGTTCGTAGTGAGGCATGTGGGGTGGGAGGGGGGGTGATTCGTGTAGATGGGTGGTGGGTGGGTATACAGATGAGTTTGGTGTGTGTGTATGGTCCGGCAGAGGGAGATGTGCATATTAAGAATAAATTTGTGAAGGATGTCCTAGTATATTATTTGCGTGCTTTGCCGGGTTGTAGCTGTAATTGGTGGTGATTGGAATTGTGTAATAGGCGTAAGGATGTGGAACCTAGAGGGGCAGGGTATTTTTTGGGGATTTTGGGGGGGATTATTAAATGGAAGTGGGGTTAATGGACGTTGGAGGGGGTGGGGTTGTAAAAACATACTTTTGTTAGACGTGGATATGCGGAAGACTGGATCGATTGTATGTGCCCGAACAGTAATAGTGAGCAGAGTTGCGTGTGGTGGACGCGGTTTTTTCGGTTTCACGAGGAGTAATGGTGGACCTAAAATGGGGAGGGATTGCCTAGAAGGGGGCCAAGGTTTTGGAAGTTAAATGTGAAGCTTTTGGCAGGGTGAGGAATGTCGTCAGTCTTTTGCGCAATTTGTGGGAACGGTTGGTGGATGAGGCGCCGGGGGATGATGAACTGGAAAATTTGGGTGGGATTCGGGGGCCCTAAAAAACGTATCGAGGAATATTATATTTGTCGTGGGAGGGAAGATAATCGGTTAAAGTATGGGTTTCAAAGATATCTTGAAGGGCAGCTGTGTGACTGTTATGCAGAGGAGGAGCAAGTATCCGTGCAGGACTTTGGGGTTTAAAGGAGAGTATTAGGGTATTGCAAACGAGCGTTTTGATGGTGTGCGAATTATGGGAGGATTGGAAGAAGTGCTATGGGGTGATCGGCCATCGGCTTGCGTGTTAGAGGCCAGAGAAAGGGAGAGTGATAATGGAGATGATGGGGTTAAAGTACATGTGGGATGGAAGGGTATAGAGGGGTCAAGCATTGGTAAGGGACAGAGGGTATGAGTGGATATGTAGACGCTGGTTTAAGTCATATACGCAAAGCGTGGGCTTCCGTGAGGTGGCATTGAGGGAAATGGGAGATTTAGTGCAGTGTGAGCTTGATGGTCAAGATCGGGGGGACATTAGGTGGGCCGATTACGGGGTGTGAGATTTGGCAGGCGTTGTCAGGAGTGAGTTGGGAAAGGCGCTGGGTATGATGGACTGCCAAAGGGATTTTACGTAAAGAATTGGGGGGTTCTGAGGGGTTTTTTTAGTAAGGCTGTTTAACATACTTAAGGGGCTGAGGTCATGGGAGAGCAGCAACGGACGGCCGTTGTGGTGTTGGTCCCGAAAGGGGAGCAGTCAACGGTAATGGATTATCGGGCTCTTTCGCTTTTGTGTGGAGATTATAAGTTTTTTGCGAGAATATTAGGGAACAGAATCAAGAGGGTAATAGGCAAGGTAATTGATAGGGGGCAATATGGGGTGCCAGGAAGGTCGATGTATGAAGGGCATGGTATGATTCGAGAATTTATTTGAGAAACGGGGGGAATTGGGTGATGGAGGTGTATTGGCGTTAGATTGGAAGGCTGTTATGATAGTGTAGAAAGGGAAGCGTTATGGAGGTTCATGCGTTGGCAAGGTTTTGGGGAACTCTCTCCAGGTAAACTCCAGGTAAGAAATAATATCTTGGGCAAAATTATTGTATCAGGGGGCGTCGATGAGGGTGCAGGTTAACGGGAGGCTAGGAGTTAAAATACAGATGCGACGGGGACTGCGCCAAGGCTGCCCACTATCACAAATATTGTTTGCGTGTATACAGGATCCATTTTATAGGGCCATTCGGAGGTGTGTTGCGGAGGTGGGGAGGGTACTGACCCCGGGGGGGGGGGGGGGTGGGTATCGTAGGTTTGTGGATGACACGTGTTTTGGTGAGAGGTAATGGGGATTTGCTTAGGGTGGGTAGGTTTGGGGGATGTGTTTGGGGAGGCTTCAGGTATGAAAATTAATGTTGAGAAGACTAAGTTTCTAGACTTAGGAGATAGTACAAATGGGGATGAGGTGGTAGGGGGTGGGTGGAAGGTGGTGGATCAACTAATGATATGTGGAATAATTTATGTGAGAAATACAAGGGTGGCTCAAGAGGTGAATTCGGTGAGAATAGTGGATGGAGTATTGAAAAGACTTTGGTGGTTTGAGGGCGGCGCAACTAAACGCTGCATCAAACAGTAATAGTGCGAACGTGCTATTGTACAGCAAGATATGGCATGTCGTTGTCATGTACCGCTGATGAGACGTGAGGTGAAAAAGTTTACAACATGGGGTTTTTAGGTTTATATGGGGATGGCTGCGAATGGTTAAATAGAGCGGTGTTACACTTCCGGTCAGTCGAGGAGGGCTGGGACTTTTACTCTGGAAAAAAGGTGATGAGCGTGTACCTAAAAAAGAAGTTATATGAGGGAGGGGGGCGGGGGGAGGTGGGCTTGTGCGGTACATAAGGATATGCAACGGTGGTGGGGGGGTAGGGATTTAATAGTTGGTGAGGCCATGTTGAGGTTATTAATGACAGTGAGGGATCCGTCGTGTGTTAAATTGCGGGTCCTCGAAGGAGTGGAAGGTAGGTCAGTGGTGGCTGCTGTTGAAGGGGCATACCCTATGTATGCGTGGAACGAAATATGGACGCGTCTAAAACAATTACGTGTAAAACCGGGTGTTCGGGAGGTAATGTTTAGATTTTTACATGGGATTTTGCCGTCTGGGGTTGTCCTATTCAATAGGAGGATAAGGGAGGGAGGGGAATGTAGAGCATATGGAAGCATGGAGACATTTTGCATGCGGTATTTTTTGTGATGTATAGAAGTTGTGCGGGTCTGGTTAGGAAAGGTGTTCAGGTTAGTGGGTGGGGGAGGGGTTTCAGGTGCTGCGGGCTTTAAGTTTGGATATGGTGGGTGAGTAAGATGGTGGAGAATGCAGTGGCGTATTTGGTCACGGATTTTATATATACGTCATGGGCCATGAGGGGGGTGGGCGTGGATGAGAGGAAAAAAGGTGTTTGCTTTTGACATTTTACAGAACTAAGTGTCGTAATAGGGAAATTTATGGAGGGAGTTGGGAGATGCTTTTACTGAGGGCTATCGGAGTTTTCAGTTGAGGGATTTTGGGATTTAAGTTTCAATGTAAGGGGTCGCGGCGGGCTGGCTTCCCGATAAGGACAGTGTGAAAGGGTTTGTGTGGAAGAGAATGAAAAATAGTAACTGAGACATAAGTGCCTTTGACTGTGTGATGAGGGGTTGTGTTTTGTGAAACAAGTTCTTCAATTTAATTATTAATTATGCAATTTACCCAAAGGACGACAGGGCGTCGTAATGGATGGAATTTATATATCTGCAACGAAATTAATTTGGTATGTGTGTAATGAATGACAATGTGGGTGCACTGTGTGAATGCGAAATATATTATACACATGAAGTATTGCGTGTGGTAGGAAGGCTTCAGTATTTATCGACGTCTGAAGGTCATGCACTGTTAAAGTTTTTGTGCTAACAGAAAATTACATCTTAGTAGTGGTTTTAATGATTTTGGTGAAATTTTTAGAAAGCTTGACTTATCCTGTGTTCTTATTTACATATTGTTTTTTCAGGGAGCTTATAGAGCCCGTAGGTTTAGGTTACCATTGAATTGTATATATTATAGGGTAATTGATGGATGACATAGGATTAGGTTTTTGTAGTTTCACTGGTTGTGTTGTAAGTGTATGTAACATATGTATATTTATACCTTCCTCGAGAAGGTGATATGTTTGGGTGTTTAGTAGATATACGTTGTACATGAATCATGTAGAATTGAATTTTATATTATATCAATAATTGAGTGATACTGAACGTTTTCATGTTGTTTAATATGGAATAATGAAAGTAAATTTTATACAATATACGTTACATATAAAGATTGTTACGTGTCAGGTGGATTTACATGCAAAAAAGGGAGGGGTAGTGTTTTTCCCAAAAGTAAGGTGTACATTCCATGGCAGGATGTATAATCAGGAATTAGATGTACTTGCCAAGGAGTCTTTAGGTTAGATTTAGTGTTCCAGACATATTGTCATTACTTCAAGGATTGGAGCAGTCATTGTTTACTGTACAGATTTGTGTCTTTCAGATGTAATATGTTAATTGGAAAGTACATGTACTATGCAGAATTTTTCATCACTGTTTTCACTATGTAATTTGTCGTTTATTTTTATGTACTATGTATGTCTTTTAAATAAAATATAAAAAAAATTAATGTAGAGTAGCTGATTAAAAAGCAAGTTAAGCCTATCAGCATGTCTCAGTAGTAGTAACCAGTTACCAGTAACCAGTGTACCAGTAGTTGACTCACTACCAACCGTCTCTGCCTGAGTCACTGTCTATTCATATTGTGCTGACCACAGCAGTATTCAAAGACCCCCTCACATATGGGTACTGTGGGCGGCAGTCAGTGTACGGAGTGGGAAGGAGGGCAAGGGTTTCGGGTGTTAGGGCGTCCCCACATTACCCTAATTATACGTACTTCAGCCTACGTGAGTATTACTTTACCCTATCCATGTGTACGAACTCCCACATGATAAATGGTGGCACCGGTGTGGAGCGTGGATAAGTTTTTAGGGTAATTTTAAGACGTTAGAAGATTTTTTGTGAGTAGCTGGCAGGGTCAAGGTGAACCCTTCACCCCCCAGCTTTCTCCCCTCACAACCCCCAGCCTGCAAGCCTGTTGCAGAAGTTTTTCAAGCTTCCTGGCTTAGTTCGTGTGCTAATTGCTTCAATCTCCGAGGGGTTGACCCAGATTTTGCAATTAAGCCAGTCAGTAAGCCAGACTGTGGAAGTGAATGCCAGTCAACCTATCGTCCAGCCTGTCTCCTGTCATCCACCTGCTCCTCCATGCTGTGTGCATCGTTACACGTCTTCCAGTCAGCCATTCTCGTGGGGTAAGCCAGTCAGCCAACCCAGCTTCTAACCCAGCTGAGAGAGAGAAGTAAGCCACGCAAGTTCAGAGCCTCTGAAGTATCGTCTCATGTATCGCTTTGTGCTCCCAGTTGGATGCTAAGCGTGGTTTTCACCATTCCTGTGGCATAGAGTGGCTTATCAAGCCACCTTCGTGGGTCAAGTGGAGTGCGCGCCAGAGAGTCATCTCACCCACCTCTATACACTCTCCCTCCACCCACCCACCACTAACCACCCACCACCAGCCACCCACCTGTGGCTGTTTGCACCCTGTTTTGGCTCACATAATTAGTCAAGAGATGTAGCTGAGCACCGACGATAAAGCCAATTATGCGAGTTCACCGAGAAAGCGCATTTCTTCACGACGACAGTGTGAGTGTCGGCGTCATCACCGCGCAGGACAACCTTCCTCGTCACCAGTCATCACCGTCGACTACTACAGACTTCAGTGATAATTTTCTGTTTAGAGAAATTTTTCTTGCATTTAAAGACATTTGCGTGTGTGAGACATTTATAGTGAATTTCTTGTGTACTCTAAACCTTGTGTTTTCAGTGTAGACTCAGTGTTTCTTTGACTCATTATTTTTGCAATATTTTTCAGTGTTATCACTCATCTTCTATTTTTTTTTTTGCCTTATGTCCTTGAGTAAGTTCCCTGAGATCATGTCCCAGTCACTTTTGAATGTTCACTTAGTGTATCATGCCAGTCAAAGTCAATATGAATCAGTCCACAGTACCAACATTCCCTTACTGACTGAAAGACAATACCTAGCCCTTGAGCAATGTGTTTGTTCTCACAGCTTGTATCTGAGATTTGTTAAAGTGCTGCGAAATGTGAAGTTCAGATTAAGTTCCTATAGATCCGTGAATTACTTATTAACGTAGCCGAGCGGTCAGGCACTAGTATACTGTCACTCCTGTCTGGACTCCAGCCACAATATCATGCACGCAGGATAGTGCGACTACTATCCTTGCGATGGCGACTTGTTCAAGTATTCGTTCCCTCCCAGGGGACGCTTTGAGAAGAACTTTACTTGCAACGAGTTATGCCATCTCTTGCTGATGCCACAAGCCGTTGCAGAAAGACGTTTCTGTGGCTAGTGTGCTCACTTGAGTGTTGTTGTTGTCCCTTGTGTTTCAGATTGTGATCCCATCCTAGTTGACAGTAATCAGTGCATTGTAAGAAGTTATTTCTCGAGTAACTTTCACATGTTAACGCTTGTAAGTGTAGTTTCTTTATAGTTGATACCTCGTGTCACTGTGTGCGACTCAGAATATCAGCATTGTTCACAGTGTTCATTTCTTTTCTCCTGTGCTTGCAGTTTGAGATAGTAGATTCGTTCTCCCTTGCTCATATTGCGTGTTATAGCATTAATTTTTTCAACCGGGGGGAGTCATCCACTCCACCGAGTTTGTTCATTCCTCCAGTAAGAAAGAACCGATACCTTGTATTCTGTATAGATGAATAATTACAGTATCAACTTATCAGTATTCAAGAATTTTTTTTTGTGTGTTCATGTTCTCTCCGCATTCTGAGAGTTAACAGTCTAGATTTGAGTGCACCGAATCTGCCTTTCTGTTAAACACTTCTTTGTATATATTCCTTCCTCAGAATCCGTAGATCACATGAATACAGATCGATCGATCAAATTTTTTTATCACTTCCACTGTGTAATCCCAACGTTGAGTTTCATTCGATGAGTTGTGCTATATTATACCTTGTATTGCATTACAGTTTCAGTTACGTAAGCTTCCATTCCAATGTTCTACTTATGTATGTTATAATGTTTAATTGTTGTGTACTTTGACATTGTATAGAATCAGCCCAAGCCGTACACCTGCCATCTCTAGTTTGTATTAGTTGTATGTCGGGACGACATACGTTAGCGTTGCCGAGCTCTCAGTAGTAGTAACCAGTTACCAGTAACCAGTGTACCAGTAGTTGACTCACTACCAACCGTCTCTGCCTGAGTCACTGTCTATTCATATTGTGCTGACCACAGCAGTATTCAAAGACCCCCTCACATATGGGTACTGTGGGCGGCCAGTCAGTGTTACGAGAGTGAGCAAGGAGACAAGGTTACGGCTGTTAGGGCGCTCCCCACATTATCCGTAATTATACGTACTTCCAGCCTACGTGAGTATTACTTTACCTTATCCACGTGTACGAACTCCCACATGATAAATACTCCCACATGATACATGGAGCGCCTCGGAGTCAGTACAACACACTAGAGAGAGAGTGCCTAGACAGTCAGGTATGTAATTTAACTCTGCCTGCGCCCGTATTGAGAGTCGAATTCAGCAAGACCCCAGCAAGGACCCAATGGAAATTAAAGGACCCCAATGGAAATAAGTCACTCTGTCTGACTTTTTTGGGTTATCCCAGGTTCTCTACACATATGCTGCTATGTATGATAATTCTATGTAACTGTATTTGTGTATACCTGAATAAACTTACTTTCTTAAGACTCTGGTATAAGGCGATGTTCTGTGGAAACAGGTGGTACTCCTCGCCCTAACTTGTAACTCCCTCACATCGTATCGTTAGTAAAGAAATTATTTATTATATATAAGACATTAGTTAAGACTGTCAAAAGAAGATTGAGCAGATATTCTGTATTTGGTTTTCCAGTGGAATATAATTCTAAAAACAAAATGTATTCTCCAAAAACATAACTAAGGGGGAAAATTTATCACAGTTAGTGTAAAAATATTTGTTAGTGACAGTGTGAATAATTTTATTTTCATCAGTTACTTGTCAATTTAACAATGCTCGAAGACACTTTCTCTTGATAACTTTATTTATAAAGCTATCCGTAGCTTTAACATAATTCAAGAATACGGTTTCTCCAAATTAATTTTTTTTTTCAAATGTTACCCCTTGTTAATTCTGGTTTCTAGTTCCAGAAATACGTTTTCTCTGATTTGATTGATTTTTTATTTTTAAGAGTTACCCCTCACTTTCGCATCTTAATGCGTACTTTCTACGTAAGTTTTCTCTGGACGTAAAAACAATGCGAGACACATGCTAACTTGTAATTCCTAACTACAAGTTAAGGAAACCATCATGAGCTCTTGGAGGAACTGTCACAAGTGGAGGAGGACATGTTGTCAGTGGACGAGTTGGAGTTGTCATCGTCACTATCTGAGAAGTGGTACTCGTGAGGCTGACCCGGCTTGATGGTGTCTCCTCCCTTCTCCTCCCATTCGCTGAACGACCCTCGGTAGATCCTGTAAGTTTAAGATAATTAGTCTCATGGCCATTTTCTCACTACGTCACTTTCAAAATAAAAATGTAAATCTTCCCCACAACATGATTAGTGTTCCCTATCTCACTCCTTCCCTCTCCTCCCTTGAGCGTATCTCCCTCCTTCAAAATGATAATGTTTGTTTCCTTGCAAAGCTTACGGAGTGTGGTTTACATAGTATAAAATATTAATTTACAAAGAAAGCCACTAATATGCCTAGACATTTCCTTCTCCTCCCTTGAATTAATCTCTCACACCTTCCTTCTCTTCCCTTGAGCTTATCTCCCTCCTTGAATTTATCTAGTTTTTTTCTTTCTCCCTTAAGCATATCTCCCCCTTCCTTCTCCATTGAACTTATCTCCCTCCTTCTCCTCCCGTGAGCATACCTCTTTCCTTCCTTCCTTCTCTTTCCCTGAACATATCTCTCTCCTTTCTCTTCCAGAAGAATCGTGATATTAACTCATCTCTTCCGGCCGGGGATTTGATTCCCTAGACCTCGAGTGATAAGAGCCGCGACTTTCACCGCTAAGCTATGGCCTTAGTTACCTGTGTCTTTTGAAACCCTTGGCCTGCAGGATGTCACAGGCGGTCTTGGAGCGAACACCGGTCCTGCAGCACACCACCAGCGGCTCCTCCGTGTTAGGCTTGTCGAAGCCGTACCTCGCCTTAAACGACTCCTGGTTCAGCCCACATGCATACTTGATCTCCGTCACTGCAAGTAGAAAGGGGTTATTATTGTTATTGCCATCATTACTGTTATTATAGTTATATCCACACACAAAAAAACGCTAAACCCTTATGTGCCTTTCGTCATTAATATATTTTTGTGATGTTATGTCCAGTGGGGAGTGCTGAAAACCCACTGTGAACTCGGTAATCTTTTTTTGTGTGTGCTACTGCTCACAGGATGAGGATGGGGTGCACAATAAACTACCTGCTCAGGGACACAGCTAAACTAGGTACCCGGGTATAGTGAGACGCTGACAAGTACCTGGGATACAGTGGGACATTGATAGATACCTGGGATACAGTGGGAGCCGGGGATCTGACCGGCTTCTTGTAGTTCATTGCGGTTACGGACGTCGATGACCGTCACTCTGTCAAGGCTGCTAGACAACTCGTCATAGGTTATCTCTGAGGAAGACATGGAGCGTCACACATGCGGTCTGTTAAGATAAGATAAGATAAGATAAGATTTCGTTCGGATTTTTAACCCCGGAGGGTTAGCCACCCAGGATAACCCAAGAAAGTCAGTGCGTCATCGAGGACTGTCTAACTTATTTCCATTGGGGTCCTTAATCTTGTCCTCCAGGATGCGACCCACACCAGTCGACTAACACCCAGGTACCTATTTGCTGCTAGGTGAACAGGACAACAGGTGTAAGGAAACGTGTCGAAATATTTCCACCCGCCGGGAATCGAACCCGGGCCCTCCGTGTGTGAAGCGGGAGCTTTAGCCACCAGGCCACCGGGCCTAATAATATATTTCTACAAGTACATGTACAAGGTATACAGTCCTAGCTGACATCAATAACA